CCCAGTGAAAACTGGCAATGGTGAGTCAAAATTAATATAATTTAATATTATATTTATAAAATATATTTATATTGTGTTTATTATATATTTATATTATAGTATTATTATTTAATAGTTCCTCTCACTTTTAATTTGAAATTAGGACCTCTCCCTTTAATGAATTAAGTTGTGGGGGTTTTTTGGAAAACGCTTGTTATATTTTATCATATATAGCCTAATGAAAAAGGTTTGTGACTGTCCTTTGAAGGGTTCATTTTCTTATTAATCTGTCATTGTCCTACATTTTGTGGAGAAAAAAAAGTGATGAACTTTTTACTGCTCATTTTCATTCATATTTTTGCATCATCCAAGATTTTGAACTGTAAATCTTAGAAGAACAGATTATTTTCAGCTATCAAAAAGATAGAATACAATGTATTTTGAGCTAGTTCATTAGAGAGCTAATCAAACTCTTACCTTTTTGGATCAGGAAAGGAGGTCTAGAGGGCGAAAGTGTTTTCTATTTTATGGTTAGTTTACTTTGTGGAAAATAGATCAGAGGTTATGGCATTTGGCCTAATTAGTAATCAGAAAAAGCAACATGGAAGATTGAAATATGGAAGTCAAAGTCCCCTGGATTTGACACTTTGGTTATTGGATAGGAAAACCAGCATTGTTTGTGCTGTCCTTCCTCCTTGGATTTATGTATTTGTGTCTCTACCTTTCCACATGCTTCCTACATTTTACTTTTTTTTTTTTAAATTGACTATTGAAATGAATAGAAAAGATCAGTGAGGGAGTAAATCAAGAGTGATAAACTTTAGACACCCTTTGAGAACAGAATGTTTACTAGACAAAATATGTGACTTTTGAACTCTGAATTACCAAAGCATCATAAGAAAGAAAATGTTACACAATTATAAGATAGTTTATAACAATTATAATTGCTAATAAAGGTTGGATTGTAGTGAAGTATACATGTTAGACCACAATTGGCAAGAATGAGGTACTTGTGCCTTTGGGTCTCACATACTTTGCTTTTATGAACCCTCAGCAATTTGAGACTCCATTTCCTTCTGAATTTATACAAAACCTGAAAACTCTCTCAACACATTGTATCTAAGAGGCAGTACCAGTTGATCAGAGTACACTGGTATTTACTGGTCACCTCTATTAAATCATGACAAATTAAAGTATCAGTGTAAAAAAGATAGGAGGTTTGTGCATTTATTTAATCCCACAAAAATGAGAAATTATTATTACTTTGAAGTAACTTTTAATGTACTTCAGCAATTATAAGTCAGTGTTTGTTAAATTAGCCAAAAATTTTATGTTCCAGGCAATAGGGGAGGCAGGAGATATAAAATAGTTTTTCTAAATTCCAGTACCACATTTAGGAATTTAAAGGTTAAAGAGGAGGCTTCTTCAGTTCCTGGAAATAACCCTTATAAAACAAACCAAATGAAAATACTGCAGTGTTCTTTATCAACTGCTTCTCTTTAGGGCTCTTATTTAGTGATTGGCAAAAATGGAAATTCTGGAAATTCACAAGATTGCTCACTATTTTAGTTGCGTAAAAAAGAATAATGAACTGAGACACTCTCTGCCCCATAAGAGTTATTTTAGCAACAGAAAATCTACAACTTTATATATAGCCAGGAAGGGGAAATATAAAAACAAACAGTAAGGTAAGGAAGTAGGAGACAGACATTTTAAACATTAAAAAATTACTTGAAGGAATTCACCGATTGATTGATTGATTGATTTAGCAAACATTTGCATGCTTTCTACCTACCAGGTCTGGTGTGAGGCACAACAATACAGAAATGTAGGACAAGACCTTACAACCTTTTTCACACCATGGCACATGTAGAAAATAATAATATTAAAACAAATTATCTACTAAGGAGCTGCTGCCACACCAGGCCCTCTGGGCAGTTCTGTGGGATGAGTGTCTTGGCACACTGTCACCCTTTGCAGTTAGACACATGGGGAATGTTTGGTGTGAGACATACATACCTCCTGCCCTTGGGAAGCTGGCAGAGGACAGAGGCAAGTGAACGAGCACCGAGTATTACTGCCTCCAGACTGTTTTGTATTGGAGATCAAGGTAGTAGATGGCCCAGGTAGGCTGAAGAGAGGGCAGATCCAGCCACTGTAGAATGTGATGTTTTATTATTCTGTCAAATAATGTGAAGGAGGTACAAAGGGAAGACTGTGTACCTTGAATTTTTTTTCAACCTCACTTTTTTATTCATTTTTTTCCCCTCCAAAAATCACCCTTGCCAATACTCTATCTGCCTCCCCCTCCACCATATCCCTTCTACCTCTGGTAGCCATTATCTTCTTTTCACTGAGTTCAAGTGTTATTCCTACTACTCTTTGCATACCAATATTTTTTCATTATTTTATATTCCACAGATGAGTGATATTGGCCTTTCACTTTCTGACTTATTTCACTTAACATAACCACCTCGAGGTGTACCCATTTTGTCCCAAATGCCATCATTTCATCTTTCTTCACAGCTGTGTAATATTCCATTGACTATATGTTCCATAATTTCTCTATCCAGAAATATTATATTAACTTATTTTTTTAAAGATTTATTTATTTATACAAGCACTGGAGTTACAGGCCAGAGGCGTGGGAGGGTGAGAGAACTCACCAGAGATAGATCAGGGAGCAGAACAGGCAGAAGGACCGAAGAACACTGCTGAGAGGAGCAGCGGGTGCGACTGGAGAGGTCTGCCACGCCATGTGGGAATCTCCCTGGCCGGCCAGGAATTGAACCGGCACTGCAGAGGCTGCAGACAGCTTCACAGTGCTGTGCTCAGCCCGCTGTACTACCGGGGAGGCTCTGTATTAACTTCTTTCTCAAATTATACCTCAAAGCCACTTTGCTACCAAGAGAATATAAGCTCATTAAGGGTTTTGACGTAATTCAGTGTTTGAGATGAGGAAAAATTTAAAAACAGAAAGTTTCTCTCTTTTGGGAGCTCTATCCTTCAGAAATTCTGATTCTGGTCACATGTCCTCCTGTTGAGTAGATGAAGATGACAAGGGAAAGAATCAGGAGGAAAAGTAGGAAAGATGTGCTGGAGAGTGAGTCATACCACTTTAGAGCAGAATAGCATATTAAGGCACCTGCTTTCCATCACCATCTTCATCTACACCCCCTACATCCCAGGGAAAAAAACAGTACTTCTCTCTACCACTTAGAATATTGAATTATATTAAAATATAACTGCCCTTGGACTCTTTGAGTAGCAGAGGTAAAAAAGTTGGCATCATGAAATAATTTAATTCCATAAACATTACTGAATATCTTTGTTGATGGGGTGGGGTCAGGAAGAGTGGTTCCTCCTTTAGGGAAATAAAATAATAGTACCGGGTGAGTATGTTGTGGAAGGATAGAGAGAAAATGTCACATTGATAAAAAAATGCACTCAAGTAGGAGAGTGGAAAAGGTTTTTTGGTTTTTTTGTTGTTGTTGGTTTTTTTTTTGTTTTTTTTTTTTCTGTGGGACCCTCACTGGTGGCCGGGGAACGAACCGGTGCTGCAGAGGCTGCGGGCAGCCCCTCAGCCCAGCACGCAACCGCTGCGCCACCAGGGGAGGCCCAGAAAAGTATTTTTTTAAGGGATAAAATCAAGAGGGCTATTTTTAAAAGCCAAAAATTTGAGTTAAAAGGTAGCATAAGAGAAATATAACTGAAAAGAAATTTCTGGAATCCTGCTGGTCAGATTCCTCTGGATACCTCTCTTCCCTTAATACTCTTACTGTGGCCATGCTATATATATATGCATTTGTTCTTAAGGTGGAACAGAACCATGTATGGCTGCTTCTTTAAGAGTTTAATTTTGAAATGTTTTTATCTTCTGCTGTTCGCTTATCAAGCTAAACTTTAATTCAGTTATCTCTAGTACTTTTTATCCAGAAGAATGCCAGAGCAGTTGGGTCACTGTATCTTTTAAGATTGCACACCCACTCTTGAAATGCATTTTGTTAAACTGAGGTTTAGACCACAGTGTCCTTTCCACCCTTTTTTCCCCTTGAAATTTAATGGCAGAAAATCAAGCCTACCTTTGCAAATTAAGTAGTAAATAAGAATCTAAATTTTTTTCTTTCTGTTTTCTCAGCCAGGTTCTAACTTTGATTAGTATCTTTTTATCTGTTATTTACCAAATAATGCCTGGATTGTTTAGGGACCTAATAACTTACCCTATTAGGGTCAGGGGAAGACAACATGCTTCAGCAGTTCTTGCTTGACATTCTTGTTCTTTTTTCTTAGAGAAGGCTTAATAACAGCAATGAGAGCAGTACTGTATGCCATTATTCCAAATTTATTTTTCTATAAATAAGAAGGAGATTCTACCAAGAGTGTTTTGTGTGTGTATTGGGGGGCAGGGGAAGGAAGAAGGGTGTCTTGTTGATTTTTCTATATGAGTTTTTATTTTAAAAATAAATCCTCAGAGATGGTGGATTAGTATTCAAGGACAGCCTTGGTAATCAGGAGATAGCTGAATCAATCATGTTTTAATAATATTTTTATTTAAAAATAAGAGTAAAATTTATCTTGTCATGATTTCTTAGTGGTGTTTATTTTAGAATAGTTTGCCACTTACTGGCCTTACAAACATTAGATGACTATTTTAAGACATTAGCTTATAAGAAAGTGTAATTGAATTACACATATAGATGCCAGTTTAGTGGGTAACTGCTGGAACAGGTTTGGGAAGCTCTGCTACATTACTGCAATCTTAAATGACAGAGAAAGGATCTAAATTTTATTTTTATATTTAATGTTCTTCACTGTGGAAATTAGTTTTGTTTTTGCTTAATTAGTAAAAGTAATGCTATTTTTTTTTAAAAAGAAATTATTAAAAATCTAATCACTACTGAACCTTACACAGAGAAGGAGTAAAACTGTCACTTTTGATCTGTTCCCATGGAATGCAGCTTATTGTCATCCTCTACATTTAAATGCTATTTTAAAATTGATTTGTGGCTCTTTGTTTACAGGATCGCCCCAGGACATTTGACATGCACTCGCTGGAGAGTTCACTCATTGATATAATGAGAGCTGAGAATGATTCAATTAAAGGTAATTTTTAAATAGAAATGTATTTTGATTTTAGTAAGTAAAATTTTGTATTACCCATGCAATCTGGTGAGCAGTATGGAAAATATTATGGATTCATATTTGTATCTAGTCAGCTTCATGCATTTTACACATGTACCCTTTTTGTTAAAAATCAGGCATATCTAATGGACATCCTCTGTAGGCTTTCATAATGCCAATGAAGAGAACTATAGAGCACTACTTGCCAAGTGTGGGCAGTTTAACTGGAAAGATATAAGCCACATACCTCATCTTATATATCTGAGGCAAAAACTGCAAAGTCCTGAAACTTCAAATGTCTAGTCCCCCTATGACAGTGACTATACATACTCTAGGAAGAGGTTAAATGTTCATCAATTTTTTTTGTACTAATTTCACATTTAAAAAAAAATGGCCAGTGGTTTTGAAGTTAAAATGAAGTTTTGTATTCTTGAAAGATTTCCTATGTATTATGTTAAAAAATGGCTATTCCTACTTGGATTCTAATCTTAATTCTATTACTAAGTAGCTGTGTTATCTTGAATAAGACATCTCAGTTTGCCTATGATTCATTTCTTCATCTTTATCTAAGAAAATCAGAGTCATCCTTATAATGAGGGACTTCTAATAGGGAGCTTTAAAAATAAAATACAAATGCCTGCTCCCTATTCCAGGTGAGGATGAGGCTTGGCGTGTTATGTTTTAATATCTCATGTAATGTTAATATGTCTCTAGAATTGAGAATTACCAGAATAGATGTTTTCTAAGGGATTTTTTTAGTTCTGATTTTTTGAAAACTATCCCCCATTCATTTTTCTATACAAAAATCTGTTTGTTAGTAGTTTTTTAAAAAGAAATTTAGAATGTTTGGTGTTTTTGGTCATTCCACTTAAATTGTTCATTCATATGTTCATTCATTTAGTGTTTATGAGCCTGCAGGAATGGCTTTGCACTGGGTCAAAGGTCTCAAGGTAGCCTGCTGCTTCAAGTGGTAACCAGCCTGGCCTAGTTTTCTTTGAGTTTTATTTGCATTATTATTGATGCAGTAAATCTGTATTTTTCTACAGACCAATAATGATACATTTTTTTTCAGTGAGGAAAGCTTTTGGAAGTCTAAGAAATGAAAAATTATATGTGAAAAAGAAAAAAAAAGGGTGCATCTATCTGTTGAGGTAACTTTGAAATAAGACTAGTGTGAGGGTCTCCAATGAATTCCTAATAGATTTCTGAGATTTGACTCTGATGTAGATGCACACTATTTCTGAGCAAAGATGATCTCTTGCCCAGAAGTTTCTTTATTTTTGCCACTTCTTAGCATACTCAGTTGGGTAGACCTTTAGCCTCCTGGTCAGAAAAATGAGGAGACTCAAAGGCCTTTCTAGCATTAGAAAAAACTGCACACTCTGGGCTTTCCTGGTGGTTCAAGGGGTTAAGCGTCAGTTCTGTGAAGTTATCTGCAGCCACTGCAGCATGAGTTTGATGCCCAGCCAGGGAGGTGACCCACATGGTCCAAGAGACCTCTCCTCCCTTGTCTGCTGCTCCCCTCAGCAATGTATTTCTGTCAATCTGCCCATTCTGCTCCCCTCTCTGTTCCTTGGTGAACCCTCTCACCGCCCCCCCATACCTCTGGTCTACACCCCAGTTCTTATATGCATAGATAAATAAAAAATAAATCTTTTTTTTAAAAATGTAAAAAAAAAAAGCTGCTAAAGGAGAAATCTGAATCACATCTGTGGCTTGTACCAGTGTCACTTTCCCGCTTTGCAACGAGTTAGATGTTACCATTTGGGGACACTGGATAAAGGGTACATGGAATCTCTCTCAACTACTTTTTGCAACTTTCTGTGAAACTGTGATTATTTCAAATTAAAAGCTAAGTATACAGAAAAAGAAGCTAAAGGACATTTCTTCATTCTTAACCTATTTGCTTCCTTTTTTAATCTTTCCCCTAACCCTCTTAATGTACTTAGATACTAGGGCTAGTAAATAATTAGAACTCATTTTCATCATCAGTGCCTATGTCTTTTATAAGAGAAAACACCGATTACAATGAACAGCAAATCTAAACACCTTATTACATAATGCTTCTAAGAGCTCTTATGAGAGTTTGCACCTATTATTCTAATAAAATTAACTGTAGTGTTTCCTTGGTTTATCAACTATAGCCAGGACTTCTTTCTCAGGTTTATTTCTTCTTTTCTAACTTGCTAAATAGGTTGCTAAGTAAAGTTCTGCCTTTATTCTATATTCCCTTTTTAATTTCTTCTTGCCAATTTTAATCTAAATTTTCTATAAATTTATCTGTAGGGATAATCAAAGTTAAATTTGATGACAAAACTGATTGACCTCGCCTGAGAACACAGGTTTTGTAAAAATGTGATTTTACCAAAAAAAGTGTGGCAGAATGGAAAGACCATAGGTTTTGGAGTCAAATAGATCTGAATTTAAATTGCTGTTGTGCACTAGTGTGTGGCACTTGTAAAGATTGAATGATATGATGCATCTGTAAAATCCAGCATATTGCCTAGTTTATGGAAACATGAAGCGAATGGTAGCAATTATTATTCAACCTCTTTTAAGTCTGTTTTCATGCTTATATAATGAGAAAGCCAGCTTCAGTTTTAGTGCCAAAGTAACTTAAGTATATTAAATAAACTTTGTGTATTTTTTTCCATCAAAAAGCAGTAAAGATAAGTGGATAGTCCTAAAATGCCAGAGGATAGATAGGTGTGATTTTCTTTTAACCAATATGATGAACTTTATATCACTGTAGTCTGTCACTATCAAAATGTAGTTTTGCTTAGAGGAATACTTTATTTCTTGTCAAACTTTCAAACTCTCTTTTCAAAACAGATAGCTATTTTAGATCAACTCTGTTGAAGTTTAACAGTGAGACTATTGTGAGATTTTGTTTAAAGATCAAAATAAAAGTTGAATATCTTTCAAAACTAATACATTGTCCTTTTAAAATAAGTGTTTAGGGCCTCCCCGGTGGTGCAGCGGTTGAGCGCTGGTTTGCGAAGCTGCCCGCAGCCTCTGCAGCACCGGTTTGATCCCCGGCTGCTCCCCGGCCACCGGAGGAGGGTCCCACATGGTGTGCAGACCTCTCCTGCTACCCGCTGCTCCCCTCAGCAGTGTACTTCGGTCCTTCTGCCTGCTCTGCTCCCCGCTCTGGCTCTGGTGAATTCTCTCGCCCTCCCGCACTTCTGACTGTACCCAGTGCTTGTATAAATAAATAAAAATAAATCTTTAAATAAAATAAAATAAAATAAGTGTTTAAAAGCTACCTATTCATTTGAAAAGTCTATGAGCTCTGGTTTCTTAGAACAGAAAATGGACAATTCTATGACACTGGAAAAGAATAACATACCTCTCAGAAAAAAGTGTGTAAAAATTCAGTTAAAGGAATTTGTTTTAAATAAATTCCACCATAAGGTAGGCACATTTTATATTTGCATTCATTTTATCTGAAAAATAATTTCATAAAACATATTACAATGACCTCATTTATTTTTATATTTCATTTCCTCATAGATATAAACTTTTTTGTGTATTTAAATAATAAAAACATTTAAATGTAGACATTTTAAAGATAAATAAATAATAAAGCCTAAACTTGTTACAAGATCTACAAATTGAATTGTATGACTATATTGTTTATTTAAGTTTAAAAAAACAAAAATGAATTTGTCTTTTCCTTTTGGAAAAAAGAACTCTTAGTATAATGGGATTTAAAAGTTTTATTTTTGCCATCTACAGACAAGATGCTTAATGTGCCTAAGAATCTTCAAATATAGTTTTGAATTTCTTTATGAATTGTTTCTGGTTCCAACCGGCTTGCTAGAAACTTTTTTATCCTTTCTTGTTTTCAACAAACATGCAAAAGGAGTTCCAACCTTCATTCCATACCTTGTGTTAGTTTTTGTTTTTTTTTTTTCAATAGTTTATCTAAGAATTTTAAGGTTACATATTCAAAGGACGTGGAGGCTCTTGGGGAGGAAAAGCAAACTCCCTCTGTCTTATCTGTGCATCCCTTCTCTGATCAGCTGGCATGTCTGTACTTTATTTTTATCCACAAAATTGTGTATTGCGTACTCCGTTCCCAATGCCAGAGACAATCCACAGAAGCTCTTCCCCGGAGACTGATTATTTCATTTTCTTTACTGCACTCCAGTCTCATAAGCTAAGAGCCTGAGCTACAGACTGATTTTGAATTTTGATCTTCCAGGTGGCAGCTTGTGCATTGCTACAATATTATTAGGCTTAACAAGTATTTTCTTTACCTAGACAGAAAAACCTTTTACTATTGTAGATGCTCAGATGATTATTTGGGGACTGTGGTATCTTACCATTATTTGTGTTTTTTCTTGCTTGTGAAATTGGTATTTACTGTTTAGAAATGGAGCAGCATGCAATAGATTAAAACCATGTGTGAGTGCATCTGTTTTCAGCCTTTGAAGCCTAGGTTACACACAGTGAAATAAAGATTCGTGAAGCAGTCTTATATTTAGTGTATAATAGGAGAGACCACTGAAAATGAAGGAGCCTTTTTTCTTCCTGTGAATGGAGGGAATAAAAGAATATCGACGTAACTCAACGGAAAGTAGTTTATGGAATGGAAGCTGAGGGAGACAGTACTGAAATAAAGAGACAAAAAATAGTACTTCAAAATTATCAGATATCAGACAGAGTAGAACAATCCACAGTTTCATAATAATGGTTGAGTATTTTAAATCCTATATATGAAAACAATTTAATACCTAATTTGCTTCATTTCACTAGAAGCCAAATGAGACAGCAAAATTATTGAGAGAACAAAGGCAATCTGTTAATTGTCATAACGTTATAGTTGTTCTTCAGATATTAATTAACTAAATTATGAGTCAGAATATCATCATATTTTTCCTCAGAAGATTGTGAAATTGGAGTCATTTTCTCTTCATAATGTGTTAGAATGTATGTTACTTTCAATTTTTTGGAAAGGGGAGTATAATATATCTACC